TAATGGTATAAATATAATCTCATATAGAACTAATAATAGATGCTACATACCTAATCAACATTGCTTTTAGAGAAAAGTATGGAAAAGATACTTGTGGTTGGGTCCGTTTTCAGATAGGGTCATGTGTTTCATTCTTTATCAAAGTGGTTCATGTGTTTGAATTTCATTGTCACAAAAGGGTCACTCCGTTAAAAACGTGTGAAAAAGACCGTTAAATGTAACTCCGATTTTCAAAATTGCCCGGAAAATTAAAATAAAATACCGAAAGGTGTGCCTCGTCAAGATGACCTCCAAACCACCTTCGCCTTTGGATTATTTAAATCTATTTGAATTATTCTTTAAAAATGATTTCGCTAATATCACTTTTCCGGTGGACTTTCCCGGTGACAAGGGTGACTGAAAACAAAAAAAAAAAAAAGATGGCCTAGCGGTCGTCTTATTGAGGCGCACCTTCCGGTATTTTTCTTTTAATTTTTCGGACACTTTTGAAAATCGGAGTTACTTTTAACGGTTTTTTCAGACCTTTTTAACGGTGTGACCCTCTTGTGATAACGGAATTCAAACATATGAAACACTTTGATAAAAAATGAAACACATGACCCTATCTGAAAACGGACTCAACCACAAGTACCTTTTCTGTACTTTTCCCTTGCTTTTATTGCACTAAAAACCTAAATTAACAAGGTGGGTGTATTTTTTAGTAGGTGACAATTGCTGCACTCATTTAAAAAATGAGGTACGTTATTACCTACCATTCACTTGATTGGTTCAAATCATTATACTATTTTTAATTTAGATTCAAATAATTCAATTGCAACATTCTGATTGGTCCATGTGAGCAAATGTATGATACCCTAATAGTACCATAGAATTTACCTTTTTAGCATTCAAACAGTTGATATTTGATTTTGATAGGGCTGTGTTGTGAATAATCTAGTAAAAGAATAATACTTGTGAGAAAAGTAGTGTTTTAAATACGCATGATTGTTGAGAAAAGTTAAAGTATATAACCAATATTTAGTCGAATCATAACAATTCTAGCGTTCAATGCTACATTAGGGTAAGACAAAGATCAAGAAAACTGATAAAGGCGCAAGGCGCTCATGTTCGCAAACCTTGCAATGATGTAGACTCGTACCGCAGTGTGACTGTTCATGCTACTCAAAATGGGCATGGTTCGACCACCCTCTGAAAAGGAATTATTAAATTTTCCGGTTATTGTAACCACCGGTAAGGAGTCAAGTGCAGAAATTGTTCCGGTTTCACCAGTCACCGATTGGAGGTGATCCAATCTGCATTAATCCTTACAAATTTTGATTTTTACGCTTAATTTCTATTAAAAATTCACTGTTATAGCGAGTAATATGCGGTCATGGACCATTATTTTTGGACGGTCCAAAAATAATCAATAGTTGAGATTATTGTTAGCGGACCGGCAATAGTTGAAATTATTATTTTCAACTTTCCTATAACTAAGAAGTTGTTCTCTTCGCCTGATCTGAATGTTTCTGATCTGAATTTTTTAAGTTCTGATCTGATTTGATCTGAATTTTTCTAATCTGATCTGATCTGAATCTTTCTGATCTGATCTGAATTTTTCTGATCTGATCTGATCTGATCTGAATCTTTCTGATCTGATCTGAATGTTTCTGATCTGGTCTGATCTGATCTGGATCTTTCTGATCTGATCTGATCTGATTTGAATATTTCTATAATTATAATTATAATTATTATAATTGTAATTACAAATATAATTTTAAAAAAATATAATTATAATCCTAACTATAAAAAGAATACTAATAATAATAATAATAATTAAAATTAAATTTAAAATGAAAAAAATTATACCTATTACAGTAATTATAAATATAGATATAATTATAATTGTAATTATATTTTTAATTATAATGAGTTATATAATTATAATTGTAATTATAATTACAATATTTATCTCTGTAATTGTAACTATAGTTATCAATATTGTTATAATTACTCACAAAAATAATTACAATAGTAATAATAATTTTATTATTAATAATTATAATAAAAATAATAATTATAATCATAAATTATAATTATAAGTATAATTATAATTATTATAATTATAATTAATAATAATTATAATTATATTAACATTAATTATAATATTATAATATAATAATAGTAATATAAATATAATTAATATTACTAAAACGATATTATTATATTAATATTATTATTACAATAATATATTATTATTATTATTATTAGTATGATATTATTATAATAATATATTATAATTATAATCATAATCATAATTATAATTATGATTGTAATTATAATTATAATTAATTACAATTATAATTATAATTAATTATAGATATAATTATAATAATTACAATTGATTACACTTATAATTATAAGAATTATAAATATAATTATAATTACATATAATTATAATATAATATTATAAGAATATTAATCATATTATTATTATTATAATATTGTAATAATAATAATAATAATATTCTTAATAATTGCATTTATATTACTATTATTATATTACAATATTGTAATTATTATTAATATCTTTTTTTATCATATTATTATTATTATTAATTATATAATAATAATAATAATCATAATAGTAATAACAATATTAATAATAATAATTAATATAATAATAAAAGTGATAAATCATGTTTGAAATTCTCTGATCTGAATGTTTCTGATCTGGTCTGATTTGAATCTTCCTGATCTAATCTGATCTAAATTTTTCTGATCTGATCTGATCTGATCTGATATGATCTAAATAAAATAAGAATAAACAATAAGTAATAAGAATAAGGTGAACAGAATAGCAGTTTTGTGTTGTAAATCCTAGAAGTCAAACGATTAGAATTAACTAGTGTAACACCTGGGGCATGCCCCTGTAGTGACATTTTAATGTAAATTAAAATATTAAATATCAATAGAGGTTTTGAAATATTACCGAACTTGCAAATAACATTTTTTGTTGAAAAAAATAATAAATTAACTAATATTTTATTATTATATTTTTTTAGATTTATTATTATTTTGATACTCTATTCATGAACACATTAGTCGAAGAACGTTCATATTATGCAAAATACTCCATCGTAGCAAGACAACAAATATTGCTTATAATATCTCCAAAAATATAACAATTTAAAGTCATCATTTCCAAATAATTATAAGATAAATTTGTTTAATATAAAAAAAATTATTGAGTTCAATTTTATCCAAACAATTTCAAATTTATTTAGATAAAATTCCTTTTAACTTTTTAAATGCATAGTTGAAGTTTCTCATTCTACAATTACATATTAAGTTAGTTAGCCTCAGAATATTTTTAATTGGACTGAAACTTTCTGGTCTAGCGATCTCATTTTATTTGAACCGGTTTAATCTGGTCTGTTTAAGTTTTTCTAGTCTTGCTTGAATTATTCTGATCTGGTCTGATAAATGTCTGGTCTATTTGTATTTTACAATTGTCGAATTCAGGTATGGTCTGATCTGTTTAAGTTTGGTCTAATCTTTTTAAATCTTAATTATTTGGTTTGTTCTTGCCGGTTTGATCTGTGATTGAAAAAACAATCCAAGTAAAAACATCTTTATTTCTCAATCTATGTGTACCATGCCATTTTTTATGGGTCTCAGAGTTTCTGTATGTTAACTATTCAAATTGTCCTATAAATTAAGAATTTTATTTATTTATTTATTTATTTATTTATTTATTTATTTATTTCTATTTCTATAAAACCTTGGTCCGTTTGACCCATTAGTGTGGGTCAAACGGACCCACACTAATGGATAATAATAATAATTTATAGATGTATAAGATATAGAATTATTCCATTCAAATCATCGGATAAAAATGGAGCTCACAATATATGCAAGACTATTTGTAATGTCATTTTTTATGGGTCTGATCAGGTCTGATTTTGGTCTGGTCCGGTCCGATGTGGTCTGATCGGACTGGACCGGACCAGACCACATCGGACCAGATCAGACCAGACTTCCGTAATTATAAAATACACAGAGACCAGACCAACAAATTTCAGTCCAAAAGAAAACACTCTTAAAATACTACATTTATCCCATTCAAAAGCTCTCGTCCACTATTCTCCAGTAAACCTAAAGTCTTCTTAATCTATTACTTTATACGATAGTATATCTAACTTTTATCAAATTTGAGTTTTTCTTTGGTGACTATAAAAGTTTTGATGAAATCTCTAATTACGTAAATTTTACTCCGTATTTACTAAAAAGAATCTAATCACGAACACAGATCAATTAACTTTATGGTCATTAAAATATCGTAAATCATGTGAGAGCCTTTCTAAGGGACGTAGAGAGTAATAATATTTTTTTTATTTTTTTTTATATATGATATTGGTGTCATATGAAAGATCATAAAAAGTTATGAATTTTGATATATCTTTTGTAAAAATTGGATTATAAATATAAAAGTTATATCACTTTAAAAACGAGAGATTATTTCTCCTTCTTTTGCTCCAAATCAGCCGTGATGTATAGAGTTATTTATTTGAAATAGCCGTGATTTAGGAGTTAATTAATTGTTTTAAGTTGTAGGATTTGCATTATCCAATAGGATGTTGACACATCATTAGTTTTTAACTCAACTTTATTGTATAAAACTATAGATTTGAAAGATGAGTGAAGCATGAGTGACATGACTATTACTTGTTCCTTATTTGAAGTAGTTTGACATTCTTCAACCAAAATTTCACTCCTTAATCTGGGTGAATCTCACTCCTTCAAACAAAATAGAACACAGATCATAGCATCATACTTGGTAATATTCTGATTTGGGCGAGAAACAAGGATTAACTCACCGTCACGGAACAAAAACAAAGTCTCAGAAGCGTTGAGCTTCTTCCTCACCCAAAGTCCAAATGGATAGGGACTGTAGCCGCTGAAGGATGAGATACCCATCCTTTATTGCTTGCGACTAATACTTCTCCGTGCGACGTGTCAAGAGTTCTGCACAGGTGATCACCGGTATGACGTCTCTCAATCCTCGCTCCACTCAACAACCATGCCCCCTTTGGCCTTTTCCTAAATTTATCGCGCCCTTCTCCTGTATATAAGCTCCCAAGCTGACCCTTTGCTTTTTCATTGACAATTTTTGGTGCAGAAATCAAGGCAAACCCGGAAACCCCTTGCTTGAAAGCTCTGAACTTTGGCTCCTAGGTTTCCTCAATCACCGAATTTCTAGTCTTCAGTCAGCCCTACTGATAAATTGTTTCTTTTCTTGATTCTTCTTTTGATCATGCTAGTGAATTTTCCCTGATCATGTTTGATTGTTATGTTATGCTTCGCCGAAGCAACTGAGTTTGTTTCCTTTTCTTTTTTGAAGTGCAAGAAGAAGTTTGCTGGTTGAATTGCTGGGATTATTGGTAAGAAGCTGGGGAATTTTCTGATGGTTATGTTTTGATGTGTTTGATGAATTGCTTGATGGGTTTGGAATGCTTTTGTAGGAAGCTTGGGTTGGAGTGTAGTTTAGAGAAAAGAAAGCTCTACAAATCTTCTTTGCCTTCACACGATTGAAAATTTAAAGGGCTTTGGAATCTTTTGAAAGCATTAAAAAAGTTTTTCCCATATTGTAAAGTAGAATTTATTTACTTAAGCTGACTTTCCCTATGCGGTGGAATTGAATTTCTTAGTTACCACCATATCATATTATTCTCCTCCAATCGTCTCTCTTTCAGAACTGTTATTCTTCTCCTCCAAAGTATGTTGAAAAATCTGGTAATGAATGGTAACGATATACTTTTGTATACTTGCTTGGTGGCAATTTCTGAAACTTGAGTCACAGTGAAGGGATTCCTAGGCCTTTTTCTTACATTGATTTGATTGAAGATTGTTTTGTTCAAGTGATTAGTTTTTTTTAATCCTCTTGTATCTGACTCTAAGAGTTGGTCGGGTGGGCGGGGGAATGATCCTTTATGAAGTCCTGATTTGTTGTTGTTGAAGTTTGATCTTCAGCAGCACCACCGTCTCAAAGTTCCTTATTCATTAACCAGATTGCATTCAACAGAGCACTTTGCGATGGATGTGAAAAGGATATCCTGGGTAGGAAATGTATACCAGAAGTTTGAAGCTATGTGTTTGGAGATTGAGGGCGTCGTGTATAAGGTTGACACTATTTTCCTCTGTTTGCTGCTCTTCATGCTTAATTTCTGCTTTAATAACGTATCTATTTAATCCTTTTGCTTATGCAGATACAAAATCTATACAAATCGTTTATTAAATACTACTATAACCTATAGCAATGTTCAATGTGGATTGTATTTTTGAGCTAGATTAGGATAATTTATCCTACCAATGAGTATTTGACCTTTTCTGGAACTGGATTGCTTGGGTTTTGATTGTGATTATAAATTCGATCTTGACCTAGTTAGATTAGTAAATAGTATTCCATGTTTCTTCATTATTATTCAAATTTCCTTTTGGGAACATTTTACTATAAATCTTCTTAGAAAAACTTTCCTCTTGTGCATATAACTCCCATATATATTTGGTAGCCTTTATTGGTTAATCATTAAGAATCATAAATTTTTTTGAACCAAAGACATGACATTTTGTTACAAATCGAATCAGTAGTCCTGTGCTTTTCAAAACAAGTTCAATTTGTTTATTGTTTGATGAAAATAGGAACAACATCAGACAATGGTTTTGCTAATCCATTAAATGATTTGTGTACATTTTCAGGACACTATAGACTATGTTGAAAATCAAGTGCAAACTGTGGGAGAAAGTGTGAAGAAGTTTTGTTCAGAAATGATGCATGATTTGCATCCCGAGTCTGGCACTGATCCGGTTACTGTTGCTGCTGCTGCCGACTTTTCTGTGAATCCTTATGCTTACCTCGAGATTGAGAAAAAGGGGAAAAAGGAAAAAAAGGAAAAACGTGAAAACTACAGAAGTAAAGATGTGAATACCACAGACGATGCTCAAGTCATCAAGGGTAAGGATGGATATACTACTGCTAATCTCTAAATTCTAAGCAAATTGGTACAGTTAATATTGATTTTTCCGTGTTATTGTATTAAGGGAGAAGCAAACCTGGTGGGCTATATAAACGCCGAAATGTTGGCATCAGAAAGACCGAAGGAAACCATTTTCCACTAATGGTGCCTTCACCTGTGGCTCGTGAGTCTTGGGAGAGGAATTGTAGGAACTCTTCAGTCTGTGAATTAAGAGAAAGAGTGGAGGATACTTGTGACCATGTACCAGACACAAATATGAACAGAACGTGTTTCTCTATAGAGAATGTTGTGTCTGATGAGGCATTATTAGATGGATCAGCTGGGCAGAGGCAAGAAGATCCTGAATGCACTACCACTTTTGATGGATCATCGTCTAGATCAAGTGGTATATTATAGTTCTACCACTTGATCCCTTTCTTTTTTCTTTTTCCTTTATTTAAAAAAGGTATTCCCCGATTTCTACTACAACTTTTTTTTGTTAACTGTGCTATCGAATCAGGTACAGAACAAGCACATATGACAAATTGCCCAATTTCTCATACAGGTGGTGTCAATACAATCAACAGCGGATCTGCAGGTGAGGTCATTGTTAACTTTGTTTTGAAATTGAGGGCCTGTTTGGTAAGGAATATTTGGCTAAACCTTCTGAAAGAAAGTGTTAGTCAACATCCATTTCAGCCAAATAAGTAAGACGAAAGCTACTTATTTTGTGGCCTAAGCTAGCAGAACTGACTACCAAGCAGAGCCTGAGATTGATACTTGAAAGAATTTGCCCTGCTTATTAGTAACTTTTTAGTCATGTTTGGTGTTAACTCACTGTTAAGTTGTATGAAATTTCTATATCTCTCATCCTAAAAATGGCAGAAAACGACCCTTCTTATGAAAGTGTGTGAGCTAGATCTGTTCATCTATTAGAGAAAGTAAGAAACTACCTAATAAGGTTCTGGTCACCGGCATGTTTACTGTTTCTAAATTATGTGTGTGCATATGACTGATAACTCACTGTCAAGTTTAGAATGTAGTTACCTTTGTTTCTAAATTATGTGTGTGCATATAACTGACAACTCACTGTCAAGTGAAAAACAGAGGCAAGTAAATTAAAGATGAGACTTGTTGGGCTCCATAATTTAGAGCATTGGGTTGACATCCTTACACTCAAGTGGCTTCACTATATGTGTGTGTATGTGTGGGTACTGTGTGGGTTGACATCCTGTACTATATGTGGCCTTCAGGTAAAATTGAAACAGTAAAAATGATGCATCATTATTGAAGCGTAAGGGATTGCGGCTAAGTACAATTCCATCACTGAGCTATTCTATTTATGTTCTCCTGATTTTTTAAAAGCTTAGATCTTCAATTTAATGCACTCCTTTACCTATGCAATGATTCTGCATTTGTTCCAAAGTCTGGTTTTTGTGTGTGAATTACTACGTAGTTTTTTCTTATTTACTATATACCTTGTTTTAAAAACTGGGAATACAATCTTTTTGTACACAATCTTTTGCATATAGATAACTATATTACCTATCCATGCCCAATACTTTTGAAGCTTGCTCCACTATGAAGTAGTAACTTATGACATATTCCGCTGCTTTATATATATTTTCTACAGAGAGATCAAATAAGGATGACTGCAATGCAGTGGAGGCATTAAACGTGCTTGATCAAGAAGTGGAAGTAATCGACCAAGAAGGCGAAGTAGCCGATCAAGATGTGGAGGAGAGTTGTGTATTGGTTGAAGGGGATGGACTTCATATTCCCCATGGTCCTGTCAAACCCAAATCATATAAGGTCTCTCCTCTCTCTTTCTTACATATACATGCACCGATGCACGCGTGTGCACATTGGACATTGCTTTCAATGTGATTTTTATTTAGAAAATTGTGATATTTTCTGTTTCCAATTATGAAACACATATTTTTTCCAGATTATTTGGTTGAAATTACTACATACAGCAAATTTTTCAAAGTAAAACTCTTTGAACCAGATAACTAAGATGGAATCTTATTTGGTGAAATGTGACTAAATTTGCTAATTTTTGGAAACATCTTCAGCCGAACAAGTTAAAAAAGATACTCATTCTGTTTATTTTATTGATAATCAGAATGAGACAGATCTGGACATGTTTAGCAGAACTGTTATGGACGTGATTCTGCTGACCAATGTCAAAGGGAGGTTAATGATATTTCCTCTTTCGAAAACCATGGAATTATCAATGAAATCCCGTTTCTAATAATTTTTTACAAATTTTCAAAATTTTGTTTCTTTTATGAACTGAAAACAAAAGCATTAGCATTTAGCACCAAAATACATCTCCTTAAGTTTTAGTCTGTAGCAAAGTCCCGGCCTCAGCCCGTTTTCGCTTTTCCAGTGGGTGTCGAATGCCCTTTACACCATTAGTTTGTTCTTTTGGGAGAAGTGAAAACAAGCAAGAAACTCTATATTAACCTTAACTGTGTTTATTTCAACTTCAGAAAAAAATCCGTGAAGCATTCTCGTCGAAAGCGAGATTAACAATGAAGGAGTATCAGAAGCTGGCAGCGAAATATGAAGAGCAGGCTGCAGAAAGAGATGGGGGAGAAAATGCCTCACCTGAGGTGGTGGGAATGAAGGCAAGCACTGATGGTATACCATCAGCTAGCAGTGACTTCCCTGACTCTGAGTGGGAGCTTCTCTAGTTGCAATGCTTGCCTGCAGCTAGTAATAAAATTTTTCATTTCATAGATCAATGTAAATATATATACCTTATATATATTTATATTTGTAGAGAATGTACAATAGCGAAGCAGTTTAAAGAGTTTTATATGATGATGATTATTAGTATATTCTCCTCTCCATACTAAAAATGAGCTCTCTTCTTCCTTCTCTTAATGAAGCAGGCAGGCAAAAAAGTTGCTCTTATATGCGACATAAACATAACTGGACTAAATAAGATTTTAAATTTAATTCTGGTATAGAATTCAACGGATTAATTTTTCGTTGCATTATTAGTTCCTCTTTTTAAAATTTTCAACACAAACAATTTGTGGTTGGGTAATTGGGTAAATGTCAATTTTGGATTGAAATTTTATGTTCTTGCACAGTACACGCACGGTGTCCGCACGGAACGTGCACGGTACTCATCTTGCGTAGAGTGTAGACTGTACGGCAAGCCATCGGGTTTTCTTCTTCAAACAATGATTTCGTAAAAGTTCTAGTAAAGACTAAAGAACTCTTAAATTACAATGTACAACACGTTTTTGTGTAAACATATGATTGTTGGACATTTTATAGTCAAAGTGAATTATCAATAAATTTGAGAGTTTCTGCTTTTCTAAAACTTCAGGAGTTATTTGGTAACGCCTAAATCGATTAAATCAGTTGACATTTTAATTGCAATAGTTGAAGATGTTGATTTATGAAACAATATATTAAAATATTAGTATATTTCATTAATTTGACAAAGAAAAAGTTAAATGCAAGGAAAATGTTAATATATTTCATTAAAATATACTACGTATTGCATTAATTTGGCAAAGAAAAAGTTAAAATAGTAGTAACATCAGTCAATTTTGGAAGTAAAATAATTTTATCATACTTATTTTGATTATGATAATACAAGAAAAATAATTTTAATCACAGTTATTTTGATAGTTGGGTAAAATACTTGATTGATAAAATGGATAAGTTGAAAATAGTAACTATCAAACATTCTCTAAAAATAGTGTAAAATTGTCAAGTACTACCTCTCTTGTGATTTAAACTTTTTATTGGAAATCATACGATTATTTATACAATAACTAAATAATGTAATTTATATATATTTTGATAAATAGTATTGATGATTAAGCTGTCGTACAAGAATGTTAATTATATTCCAAAGTAGAAATAAGAAGTTTTAGTTGATACGTCCAAAAGGAAAAGAAAAACTTAAATAAGAAATGCAATGGAGCGAGTATGATGGGGAAACGTTTGACGTGCAATAGTGTTGTGGTTTTAAAAAATGTGGAGGTTACGTTGCTTTATTTGAATTTTAATGTGGAAGGCTCTTACAATCTAAATAGAATTTTAAAAAGATGCACTAACAAAAAAAGAGAATATCATTCGCACAAAAGGTCAATTCATACATCCACGGTTTGTTTGTGCGTAAAAATATGTTGCCCATTTTGAACTAATGAAGTCTTGAGAGAAGGAAATAAATTAAAGAACTTTAAAGTGCTAATTACATTGCCCAAAAAGTATCATATCACAGTTACGTACATTCCTAATGGTAAACTTATATTAACTAATACGGATTGACTAGTACTCTTCTCTTGGTGTATAAATGAACTAGTGAAACGTTTCACACTTTCACTAGTTCACAAATCTTCTCTTGATTAGTAGAGTACAGTAGGTTTAAGTTGAGAGGTATAGTCAGGAAAGGGAACTACTGAACTAGGGTGGACCAGATAAAAATTCATTCATATAATTTTTTTTATAATTTTTCATACAGATTTTTTACATGTAAAATTTTAGACTTTTCCCAAAATTTGAATGAGTCGGGAGTTCGGGACATAGGCAGGGGCGGAGCCAAGGGGGGTCAGGGTGGTCAGCCGACCCCGCTGAAAGTTCAAGAATGTAGAGCTCTGAAACACCTTCGATTTGATATATTATGAGTCTCGTAACTCATTACGAGTAAAAAGTTATGACTTCTGGAAAAATCAGCATCATTTTAACTCGAAATAAACAAAATTTGATGTGTGATGTTGATTATATTCTTAAATTTAAAAAAAAAAGCACCTTATTCAGTCATTAGTTATGTGAATATTATGATACATTACATATATATCAATATATCAACTGAAAAAGACTCATTAAACTACTATTTATCTCAACCTAGATATGAAACATTTAACGCAAGTATTGTATAATAACTATCCATCATTTTGATACTGTATAAAATCAAATTCCGACCCCCTCATGCATTTTGATGGCTCCGCCCCTCGACATAGGTGAAGTTTTTATCCATCTCCAAGATTGTGCTAATTGATAATATGGTCAAAAAAGGTCAAACTTTCAATGGTATTGAAAACTCACTCACTCGTCTCCATCTTCCACAATCTCACTTTTGTTAGTTGCATAGTTAACACAACTACGAGTATATATGTTCTTCTCTAGGCTTCCATTCTTGTAATACACATATTGCTTGTTACCATTAACACATCAATGTAAATAATCATGGCGCAGGCACGATAAATGTTATAGTGATCGAGTCAATAGACATGATTTTCCGTATGAATGTTTGCATAAAAGTTTTACCCACGACAAGTAGGTTTTTATCAAATTTGAGGTGTGCCAGGCATGCCCCCCCCCCCCCCCCCCAAACAACACCCATGAATGTAATGAACTCCATTGTCCTCTAGCTAGAGCATACATCCTTCAATTACAATAAGAATGTGATCATAAATTTACCTCTAAGTGCCAGGCATGCCCCCCCCCCCCCCCCCCCCCCAAAAAAAAAAAAACAACAACACCCATGAATCTATCTTTTAATAGATTCACCATTCACTAGCCACTAGGGATTCCATGTGTCCTTCGCACACTACGTTAAACATACTTCACAAGAGCTATCCCATAAATTACAAACCATCATACCTAATTTGAAAAATGAAATACTTAAAATGGCAAAACATACCTTAGCTTGGAATTTAATAAGGCATAGTAGCAACAACGTAAGTAGAGTTGTTTTTGGAAAACTGATCAATGCATGTGTTAGACCTTATAGTTAAGGACCCGACATCCTTTGTTGTTCTTGTAGTGCTCCACTAGCCTTTTGAGTGAGCTAGGGCCAGAGAACACGTACTTTTCATATGATATTTTCCAGGCTTTTTGCCAATGCCATGTGCCCGCTGGGCTCTACGTACATTTATCATACAGAATTGGTGAAGAACCTCTCTCATCACTAATCACCATAGCTCAAAAAAGTGGGATTGACGTACACTCTATATATGTCGGCCGATTTTGCAAGCAAATGTAGGTGCTCAAAAAATGTGGTGGATCTCGTCACATATACTCCGTAGATGATAACCCGTTTGGTGACTTTGTTTTTGGGTTCATCAAATTTATCATCTAACTTTTTAATCAAACACGTATTTTATGCTTAGGATTACTTTTCCGGTTGTATTAACTCAAATTACATTAGATGATTATTTTAGCTATTATTTCATAAATTTGTCTTTATTTTATTAATAAAGAATTCCATCCAATACAACCACTTCTTTATTTTATATTTTCCATATTGACTCTGTATAATTTTTCCATAAATCACCAAAATCAATCAACACAACCGCTTCAGTTAAAACTTCACGAATTTCAGTAGAATCAGCCGATTCAGCCGATTTCAGCGCTAACAAATGAGCGCTATAATGTACACCATAATGTACATGTATCTATCATATTGTTTCTATGGTTCTATTTTAAACCTAAAAACGAATTAAACTAGGGAGGGAGTTATTGGTTAATAAATGATCGTCTCGTTTAGGATGTTTTTACTTGAACTGAAATTTTCTAATCTGATCGAGCCTGATTTCGTCTAGTCTGGTAGATGTATGATTCCCTTTTTTTTAAATGTTGAAATTTAGTCTAATCTAATTTGATCTGGTCTAATTTGAAAAGATTTGATCAAAGAGAAAGTATAGTTTGCCTCTTGTTATTTCTTACTCATTATTCATCCGGGCCCAGGGGCGGACCCAAGAAGTTTATCTTGTGAGAACGATAACTTAAAAAAAAATATTTTTGAAAGGACGAAAATTATTGTTTAGTATATATATACACTAAAAAAAATTGTTGGAGGGACCCCTAGATCTCTACTAGGGTCCACTTTAGGAAGAGAAGTCGCTGAGAATAGAAGTTGAATTCTACAGCCATGAACCAAAGTTACCAAACAAGCCAATTTACATGGACTAATAAACTGGCACCAGGTATAATATTTAGCTCAAGTTGTAACGAAAGCCATGAATTCTTCATCATTTCCCAAAGCAAGTAGCGTTTGGGGAAGAAGGCAGACCTCAATGTCCACGCTCCCTTCTTCCACTCCCGGGAACAGGCTGAACTTCCCGTCAGCTTTATTGTCCATCCCACACCTCACCGCCACCGGCTTCCCCCACCCGAAATCCGTCCCGTAAACGTCATTCCTCGGTGAACTAGCAATTCCCAGAAAATTTGTACAGAACAGAGTCTCCTTCCGCGCCACCGCCGGAGATCTCACCCAGTTTTCGTAAAACTCCACCGCCTCTTCATGTTTTTGCCCGGCGACAACCTGATGGATTTGCCAGGCCGCCCATCCCAATCCTCTCTCAAGCAAATCCCCTGCCTTCACCCTCACCATCTTGCTGTAAATCGCGTTTCCCCAATACCCTTCCGGAAGTGGCGGATCCATCCTCCATCTCGTTCCTATCGGGACGTATATGAAGACCTCTTCGGCGGCGTTGACCCGACGGGACCGGGTGATTGCCCTCCACAGGTGGGCCACGTATGACTGCAGGGAAGAGATCTTTGAGTCTTTTGTTGAAAACCCCATTTCGGAATTGGCTTCCAGTTTGAGCTTACCGATGCTTTCTTGGCTGAAATGGAATACCCTCTCTTGGAAAGGTTGCGGTTTGAAAGAATTGGATAGGGGTTTTTCTTCTTCGTCGAGATCTAATCGGAGACGGAGTGGGCCGGTGGCTATCATGTTTTCCGGGAACCACGGGTGTAGAACGGGAGGTATGGATGGCTTGCGGAAACCTCGGGAGATTTCGGCCCAAGAATTGAAGAAATGCCAGAAGGAAGAAGCGTCGGCCACGCTGTGATTCATGGCGCATCCGATGAAGTAACCGTCGGCGAGTTCGGTCACCTGCACGCCGAGCAAAGGGTAAGAGACGCCGTCGATGTTGGAGATGCCGTTGAACGGGAAGAGAGAATGGACGATGCGTGGCACGATGGTGGGCTCGAGAATCTGAGCGAGAGTTACGCCGGCGGCGTTGGCCACCGCGAACTCTGCTCCCTTGTTGTTGCAGTTGATGAAGACGGAGGTCGTGCCGTCGTCGTTCTTTGTGACGGAGAGGCGGCCGGCGAGCGGCAGGAAAAAGTGGAGAGTGGAAGAGAGTGAGGCTCTCAGATGATCTATGAAGCTACTGCTGCTTTTGGGGCTAGGAAAGATGAGACCTTTTTGGATGTAGTCGAGGAGAAGAGACTTTAGATCCCATGGCGTCAGTTCAACCCGGTGAATTCTTGGGACGCCACCTTCTACTTCCTCCATAGCTGCAGCTCCGACTAAGCAGTTTGATATCAACTCAGTTCTTTCCATCTCTGATCTCAGTTTGATTTGCTTTACAGCTTTGCCTGCTTCCTTATGAATCCATAGAAAGGGGAGTTGGTGGAAATTCTTCCTTTCAAGTTTCAAGTCAACAATGGCCGGCTGTATTTGACTCTGTTATGGGAAAATGGCGACTAGGGGTGTAAACCAGTCGAGCTGAACCCAAAGTTACATAAGCTCAAGCTCGAAAATATTTTACATGCTCAATTTCAGCTCGAGCTCAACGAAGTTCAAATATTAATGCTCGAGTTCAGCTCGGTATATTTACCTAAGCTCGATATCAGCTCGAGTTCGGCTTGAAGCTACTCATCTAGGCTACTAGCCAAGGGTTGCTTTGCTGCCTCCCATAGCTGAATAAGATGAGATGGTCTTATTTATTGAGTCGTGGTAAAGCTAGAGTCTTCTAAGTAATCGGTGTGGGATAAATGGGCTTCGATCCTGCATTGCAAATTTAACACCTGGGAGAACCCACTCAACTAAAGATCCATATGATGTGATGACTTCGAACCTAAACATTGATTATACTTTATTTCATATGAGTTCTCGACTAACACTAACAATTCTCTAATACTTGTCCCTCTTTCCATTTTGGGATGTTCTCTAATAGTTGTCTTCTTTTCCATTTTTAGAAAGTTTTATCAATAAATATACATATATACCCTCATTCTTTTTCCTATTTTTTCATTCTCTTTCATACTCTTTCATTTAAACACAACACACTACACCTTTTACATCACCCCTATTATTTTGTTCTTAAAACTTGTGCCAAACCCTATAGAGACATCTAATAGAGAACGGAGGGAGTAATAATAATAATAATAATAATAATAATAATAATAATAATAATAATAATAATAATAATAATAATAATAATAATAATAATAATAATCACAATAATAATAAAATATATATATACATATACATAAAAATTATATTATATATATATATATATATACTACGGTATATATCAAAGCTCGCGAGCCGGCTCACGAGCCTCGAGCCTAAAATAAGTAGGCTTGAATTAGGCTCGTTAAACACTCGAGCCGAGCCGAACTTGAGTCGAGCTTGAATATGACCGAACTCGAGTCAAGTTTTTACCGAGCGAGTCGCGAGCGGCTCGCGAACGGCTTGGCTCGTTTACACCCGTAATGGCAACAACTCTGATTCCCTCCCAAACCTATCATAAAAAGATTATCGAGAACCATATGTTTCTTTGTTTAGACAGGTCAATGAACCAAAGGGGTCAGTCTGGAACATGAAAAATAATAGGGGGAGAAGTAGGCATGAAAATAAAGAGAAAATTAAAGCAGTCTTAAATCAACCATGACATAGATTAAGCAAAAGATTGTTATAGATAGCAAAAAGCAAAAACATCACCTCTCTAGATTAAGCGTCTGCACTATGCTGAATTGGACACTACTCGCTAACAAAACAAACACAAACAGGCATAGAAACTAAAAATAACAAACATTGTAACTCCTCTCAAATTGTTCAATCATCTTCAAGATACTCATCCTCAATATCCATTGTCATACACTCGATGGTCTTTGGGAGATCGGTCCTGTCAGAACCCCTCATCTCTGCCTCATACTGCATGAACAAGCTCTGAACCAATGGTGAACTGATTGGAGGGGTCGCAAAAAACTGTCGAACTAGATTGGCCCCGTGCTTTCGGGACTTTATCTTACAAGCAAGGGCAAAGAGAATTGGGAATCTAGACCGGTCAAGACAAGTTTGCTGATATGTTGGGAGTAGATACCTAGCGAATTGTGGATAATCACATTTGGAAATTGCCTTCAATGCATTTGAGAGATTAGCAACTTCATATTGAATTTCAGGGTTTCGCAGCACATGGGATCGAGGCACAAGAAGTGTATCATATATGAACATGAATGCATTCATTCCGTTATACTCAAGCATAGACGAAACATAGGACAATACCCGAGACAAAGTATCTTCACCATCAAAATGGGAAATGAGTTCATTTATGACAGCTATGCTCAACTGAGGTCCAAGACATGTCCTAACAAGTTGCGCCTCTTTAAGATCAAATGGAATATCAATCCCCTCTGAAGTGCCAGCTTTGCTCTTCAACTCTCTGATCCTAGTAGTCATGTACGGCAAGTAGGTTTCCTCAGTTCCATCTTTGAACAGCATGAGCAGAATGCAGGAGCCTTGAACTAGGATGGTTTGCCACGGGACATCCTCAATGTCATCAAGCACAACCTGATAATCCTCAGCCTCAGAAGGTATTTTCACTTCAACGGGTGTAATACCGAACTCAGGGAAAGACTTGAGGAGGACAGGCTTGAGACTTGGAAGCATCACCATTAGCATTGAACCCACAAAAGCACACATATCCCTTTCATCATTGGTGAGCTTTGCCTTCTTCAATGCAAGTGAGAAAACGAGACCTCTGTCTCGAGCAATGTCATCAGGGACAAAAACAATACAATTTCTCTGTTCGCCTCCAACAACTATTCTTGGAATGAGGTGTGTGGTGGGCAGATCATATCTTCTTCTAACTAAACTTCTGAGGGACCGCTTCTTCGGAGCAATGATTCTTGGTCTTCCAGCAATGTTACCTCCGCCTTCATTTGCACCTCCTTGCTGGTTGTTAACCCGGGCTCCTGCGTCTGCCATTGAATTCTGTCAATGTATGTACCTACAAGAGAGTGAGCGGTATGTAGAGTTTTATGTGAATTGGAGTTTAACTGCTGTTTAAGAAAAGTCACCAGACAACTTTGAATAAATTTAGCTCAATAAAGAATTTAAAACAGAGTTCACGAAGAGTCACCTGACCACTTTAAAGGATGCATAGATAGCAGTCCCAATGGAATGCATTAATTATGGTGAAACTGTTTTCGAATTATGCATGTTCTTAAGCAATTAAATTATGAACCTTTAACATTTTAGCATGTGACTGTTCAAATTATTAAGGAAAAATTCGATAAATTGGAAGCCATGCCCTACAAACCCATTGTAGTACCTCTTTTGCCTGAATAAGAGTCCATTTCTAACATTTTCTAAATAGGATTAAACATCAATTTTCTACACCTAATTTAATTAATTAATATAATTAGTTGCCCCTAGTCCTCTTGGATTACATGGTCAGTCCGTTAATAGCGGGTCAATCCGGTGGTGGTATTGACGGTAGAGTTTCAACCACTGGGACCAGCGGAGACAGTTTGTCAGCAGCAAAAATCTGGCATGTCAGCAACAACCGAAGGTGGGCTACAGCAGTACAGCAGTGTCAATGGCAAGGCTGTTACCCTGTAAGGGTTCTTGCCCTATTACAAAAAAGCTTCTATTTTGAGAATTTTAAACTACTCCTATTTTTACCTTTTGGTCATGTTATACTCCTATTATGGTAATTATCTCAATTAATTAACATAATTAATTGTCCTTTGGTATAATTCATTGCCTCCTAATTCCCTCACATAACCAAGATAAGTTCATTGATGTCAACTGTTGATATTGAATTATGATGTTTAACTGTTGATATTCTCTGTTTTGTTTTATGAGAAACTTTTGCATAACTAAGATAAGTTGGTTGTAGCCTTCTTTATTCAATGATTTTCCTTGAGAGCAACTGATAGTCTGATACAGTCATACAATCATTTCGGGCTTTCAGCCAAGTAATCTGTTACCAAACAAACGTTTTATCATCACAAACAAGTGCAGGTGACTATTATTTTCAAGTATTCAAACAACCTCACATTCCTTCTCTCCCAACATTTTTGAAGATATGAAATTATCATTTTGAAACTAAGAAATCACTTCATTGCCCCCTTAATTTGAACCATACAAAAAAGCAGGCACTCATGGCGGGGTGTCATTCGATCAACCACGGTTCTTGAGCTGGCATCCACTGGCATAGTTCTCCTTCTTTGAACCAAAGATCTGCTCAACAATAACAAGTAACAAAAATATGAAACGAATTTACAAAATCACTTAAGAGTTTAAGAGACAGAACATGCGACCAAGGAGAACTGCTGGATCAAAAAAATAGAATTGAGGCACAAGAGTAGAAGCAAAGACAGTAGAGTGGCATTATGAGGTAAAACGTAAACAAACATACCTATTTCACGTATACCATTCTCAGGGCTGTCACTTCCATGCACCACATTCCTGCACTCATAAAAAAATCTTGTGTTCAAACACCTAAACCTCTTCACCTAAAAATAAGTTTATTTTGAAAAATCGAAAATTTTAAAAAAAAAACAAAAGGACTGACCTTCCCGTTTGGACAGAAAGGTCTCCTCTGATAGTACCGGGTTGAGCATCAAGAGGATTAGTAGATCCGATTAACTTGCGCGCTGATGGAACAACACCAATTCCTTCCCAAGCCTATGATCAAAAGATGATCAAGAACCATATGTTTCTCATTTAAACAGTTCAATAACACTCAAGGGTCCGTTTGGAACATGAAAAATGTTAGGGAATAGCAAGGATAAAAATAAAGGGGACATTACAAGGGTTGAAAATTTGGAGTCTCGAACTCAATAAATCTGTTATAGATATTTGTTCAAACTCATGCTATATAGTACTGCATCTATTTATTCTATCCCATAAAGAATAAGGAATCTAAGTAAAGATAAAAAAGTCAAAAAATATATATTTTGCTTTCCTTCTCATTTTCCAATCTAAAAGAAAATGCAAGGAAAAAATAACCTCACATGGCACTTTGTGTTCTTTCACTAGTATTTTCCAAAATCCAAACATGCCATAGGAGGACAGCTTATATTGTCATTCTCAATCAGTTCTTACAATAAAATCAGAAAGCCAATCAATGGGGGGATACAACAAGAACTATACCATACACACAACAGGACCGGATGTAATGTACTTGATCAGCTTCGGAAAGAATGGCTTAGACTTCAGATCCTTGTAATGCTCCTGTTTCCATTCATAAAAATTCAATAAATTAAGCAAAGTAGCATACCCCCACATAATAAAGATAATAATTCAGAACTATAAAAATAAATCAAAAAACAAAATATCCCATTTTATTGAAAAAGGAATCCTCTACAAACCTCAGCCAATTCATTGGGGCATTGGAAGAGCTTTAGCCCAATAAGTTTAAAACCCTTTCGCTCAAACCTGGATATTATTTCTCCAACCTTAAATTCAATGGACAAAATTACTATTAGTATTTGGTAAAAGCAAAAGAGTAGGGAAACTTATTATCATTAATTACTCAAGTCGATAATAATACATATTGAAAAGTGAAAATTGGAAGAGTATATGTATGGAAGCTCCTTACAAGGCCCCTCTGGACACCATCGGGCTTAATCATAATGTAAGTTTGTTGTTTTTCTTCCTGCACAAAAAAGCAAGAAACTTTAGGAGTGGAATTCCACTTCTGGGGCCTCCCTTAATTTGATCTAATTAATAAAATAACTACTTACCATGGAGGCAACCAAGTGAGGAAGAAATATTTGATCTTTTGTTTGGGAACGAGGACGAAATGGGGAATACGAGAAAAGATGGTAGACAGGTTTTAGAGATGCTAGGTGGTTGGCGGCGGCGTGGGCAGATAGATTCCGGGACTTGGAGGGGGCATTGGATAAGGCATAGGCTTTCTTTGCTACTGTGTGAGTAGAGAGTGAATTCACGCAAGGAGTGGCATATTTCACTGTCAATAGAGCCTCCATTATCTCTTTTTCCT